CTGAATATCTAGTTATATGTAAAGTTACAAATAAAATCACATACGGATATGCCAACAAAACAAAGAAAGTAAATGAATTTATAAATGAAATTAAATCAAGGGTTTAATAAAAAACAAATATAGTACTGCCAGTCATATATTTGCTTTATAATTTGCAATTATCTTACCTTTGATAATAGGGTTGTTCCACCACCTTGACAACACAGAGGTCATCTTAGGGTCATCGTGGTGCTGGGTAAAGACCACAGGGAGGTCCTTGTTATGGAAAAGCTTGACCAAACTGGCAATGTTTTCTATGATTTTCCCATTCTCTGCAATTTCTTTAAACCGTCCTTGCATGTCAATCACCAAAAGTGCTATTCTCCTCGACATGGTACAAGCTGTAATTCTGCTAAAAATACAAATGAACAGACTTGTCAAAATAAGCTTTAAACTAAAATTCAAAATTAAATCCCTGCATACCATCAATAATACTGGTATGGTAAGTGGGATTGGTTGCCCAATTATTTGTAACGACTTTCTGCCTAAGGAAACCATTATCATGTTCAACTACAATTTAAAACTTTACTGCAAAGAAAGGGGGCAAGTTCATGCATACACACATACATACAGGAACCTAAGTGAGCAAAGAAAAAGTGGGGTTAACTTTAAATACGATTGCATATGGAAACACTACATAAATTATTGCCACGTACCCAAACGGTTGTAAAATGAAAATATCTCAATCTTCAAAGGCAGGACGTAAATATCATCAACATTATTACTCTCTATGGATTTAATTGATAATATCCGATGGAATATACCTGCTACGCAAAGGCTAGTGGACGACCTGAAATGTCCAAGCACGCGTGCCAAGGTTCTTGTTTACCTTGGCGTAAAGGTCCTACAACATTGGGAGTGGCAGAGGGGAAAATGATGAACAAACTATCCATGTAAAGAAAATATAATAAAGCCATACAAAATAGCTAATGAAGACATACATGGTAATTAACAAATAAATCGATGTATTTGAATAGATAAAATTTTATGTTTTCACTCTGTGATTTATATGGAGCATGTCACACAAGATGTAACAAACAACACCATTCGTTCTCCACCCCAAAAACTGAGGACCTCTTTGATCACCGTTTGCGCCAGAGATCTCGCGAGAACAAATATGGATGCGCCCATGTAGCTTTGGGTAAAATCTGTATGTCTATCTTATTTGAATTGTTCACAGTGATTACGAAGACGGTGTCCCGTGTATATTAAATCCTGTAAAGTTTATGTCATGGCAGACTCATATTCTTTGGTAAAAGGCGGCAAACTTAAACTGAAAGGACACAAAAGGTAGGTCTTATAAATGTGAGTGAGAGTCGATCTTTAAACGCCTGTTACTAGTGTTAGTGTTCGGTGTGACTGAAATGCGCAATACACCGCAACACAGTGCAATACACTTCAAAAATCAAATCCAGTTGCAATTACACAAAAGAAATGATCATTCCCAGCAAAGCAGGGTGATATAAAAATAACCTATATTACTTGGTAAGTAATATCGTTGATATAACTTAACAAATCAGCAAGACTTTTATATGCGTACGTCTTTACTGTCATCTACAATTGGTCTCTACAAATCCGCAAAGTACCATTGCTCTGGAAGACGGCGTCTATCATCCCGGTTCCAAAATCCAACCGAGTTACCAGCTTAAACGATCTTAGACCCGTGGCTCTGACTCCGGTGCCTATGAAAATTCTAGAAAAATTAGTTTTAAATTTTATTAAAAAAATTGTGCCGAAAACCTTGGACCCACTGCAGTTCGCTTATCGAACTAACAGAAATATTGAAGATGCAATTAATCTGTGCCTACACACTGTACTACAACACCCAGATAACAAAAACTCTTATGCAAGGATTTTATTTATTGACTACAGTTCAGCTTTTAACACAATTGTGCCAAAAAAACTATATTTAAAACTTTTAAACCATCTTAAGCTACCTGTTTTTATTTGTGACTGGATTTTAGACTTTCTTTTAGATAGAAGACAATCTGTTAAAGTCGGCTCTTTTAGCTTAAAAATAACAGTCTTAAATACCGGTGCACCACAGGGCTGCATCCTTTCACCTTGTCTTTACTCCCTTTTTACCTATGATTGTACTAGTGTAAGCGACGGGACTTTTCTCATGAAATTTGCGGATGATACTACGCTTGTGGGGCTAGTTACTGATAATGACGAGAGTACATATAGAGAATCTGTTGAGTCGGTGTTAAGCTGGTGCGAGAGTAATGATCTTATCTTGAACGTAGCTAAAACCAAAGAAATGATAGTGGATTTTAGAAGGAATCAGAATGTAAAGGTACCACTCACCATTGGTAATGTTGAAGTTAGTAGGGTAGAGGAATTTAAACTACTTGGTATACACCTTAACAGTAAATTGAATTGGAAAGATAACACCGCAAAGAGTGTAAAGAAGGCATGACAAAGACTGTATTTTTTAAGATCATTGAAAACTTTTACTGATAGCATGCCAATTTTAGTCAATTTTTACAGGTGTGTAATTGAAAGCATTCTAGCGGAATTATAATATGGTATAGCGGAACAGCTGGGGAGGAAAGGAAGAAATTAACAAACGTTGTAAAAACTGCAAGCAGGATCATCGGGCAGGATCTCCCCAAGCTGGATGATATTTTTAAAGTCAGGATGGAGAAAAGAATTGTCAACACCATGAAAGACTCTTTCCATCCTGCATCATCTCTTTTTACGTTTTTACGAAGCAACAGTAGACTTTTAACTTTTAAAGGCAGTAAACGCTTTTTAAACAGCTTTTATCCAAGTGCAGTGACGCATTTTAATTTGATCTCAAAACTAAATTCTTAATTTATTTATTTATTGTATTATTTTATTATTTAACTCTGTATATTGCTCCAAAAGGAAAATGATTTCCGATTTTTATAATTGGCTAAATAAACTCTTATCTTATCTTATCTTATTGTCCAGTTGGCAGCCATGTTGGCGAGTGACTCCTCTTGGATATATTACTGGCCAAGAAGAGCTACTCGCCAACATGGCGGCTGACCAAACAGTGAAAAAATTGTCAAGTTGTATCAGCAATATTAATTACTATGTACTATATTTTGCTTTTATATCACCCTATTTTATTTGAGATTACCCTTTCAGGCCCGTAGCCAGCAATTTCAAGAGAGGGGTTCTTTTTCTGAAAAAGTGGACCTTTTTCCATAAAAATTTCATGTACCTAGATCAAATTTTACCCAGAATGGACCTTTTCCCAGCAAAAAGGGTGGTTCTTTCGAACCCCCCGAACCCCTCCTGGCTACGGGCCTGCCTTTCCTGTGTTTACTTGCAACTGGACTTTTGTTATCAAGTGTATTGCGCTGTGTTGCGCTGAATTGCAGTGTATTGCGCATTTCAGTCACACCCGTTAGTGTTATATGTATCTGTCACAAACGAATAGTAATTTCCGGTCCGACAAAAATCCATTTGGTCCGGCAAATTTTTCATTACTGCCTGTCCAAATGTCCAGCAATTCTGAAAAGTTTTCAGCATGTCTGAAATGTATAGGACAATATTTTATATTTAGCTCAAGACATCTTAATAGCTAATTATGCAGTCGTTCACTTCTTTTTGTTTGTTTGTTTGTTTGTTTTTAATTTACAATAATTGGTAAATATGAGTTTACAATAATTGATCACCATCACAGATTCTTCATTTCTCCAAGTTTGTAAAGGGCCATATGACCTTCTAAATGTTGGTAATTTGAAAATGTTATATTTAAATCTTTTAAGCAAAATTTGCATTACTAGTAATTGTCCTGTTATATTTCATAAAGTCACAAGAAACACAAGAAGGAGAAAAGGAAGAGGAAGCGAGATGATGATTCTGATGGTGAAGTTGTGAAAGATGAAGATGCTGTGAAACATGGTAAAGCCTCAAATTATTTTGTCTTATTAATACATAGCTACACTAGTCTTTTTTAATGCAATGATATATTGCTTAAGACTTACTGCAGTTGATGTCTTTCTTATTGTATTTTATCTATTGGATTGTTTGATGTACATAGTAACTTTATGGTGACCATAAGAATTTTAAAAGAAAAATGTGTTTAGTATCACCCAGCTTATCACATCTAACACAATCACATCCACATTCACATCTTACCCCATGACATTCAGCACTTTCACTTCAGTTTGTTTTATCATGGAAATTTTTGGTTTTCCAGGTGGCTGGTGGGAAATGAAGAACTTTGAGGAAATTGCCAAGGCAGGAAGCAGTGCTATTGAAATGGGAAATATGGCTTATATGTTAGCTTTAGACAATGGTTTGTTTACAGTAGGACCGACACGAGAGATAGGTAAGATTGTGTCTAAAAAATAAACATACAGACATCAGTTATAGGAAAATATGGCATAATTTTTGTGTCACATCATCGAAAAATCATAGCATAGCATAGCATCATAGCATTTATTTGTGACAGAAGGCCTGAAGTTGGACATGGCTCAAATAGAGAAGTGGTATAGGCTATTTTTTTACTGAAAATAACAGGAACATTTTAAGGAATATCATTTGTAGTAATTTGTATACCAGTAATGCATGCACCACAAGCACATTTTATCTAATCACAGTCTGTGCCATTAACTATTTTTTAGCTTACTGACCATTCGAACCACCACTTTCCTAAAACCTACTGGTCAGAATCAGGATTCACGCAGCCCAATAATAATTTCAACTAGAAAAGCAGGAGAGCGTAGACCTCCGCCAAGGCAGCAATTTTTTATTATTATTGATTATTGATTGATAATTGATCCAGATCACCACTAGAAACTAATCATCTGTTCCTTGGCCCACTTCTGACAGTTCCCGAAAATTTAATCAAAATCGGTCCATAACTTTTTGAGTTATGTTGATGACAAACAAACAAACAGGGATGAAAACATAACCTCCTTGGTGGAGGTAATAAGACTGAACATTTTCCCCTATTGCATTAATATTAGTGATAGTATAAAATCATCATGTAACAGTTACATTTCAGAAAGAATTAAAACATACTGAAAGCACTTTTGAAATTTAATAGAAAAACTCTAATGGCCATGTCAGACCAAGAAATTCACACATTCTGAAAAATCTACCATTACAAACAAAATTTTACTGGTTGCCAGCTTACTTCCAGTGGCTAATGTCACAGACAGTAATCACTTGATCCTCAATTGATATTTCATAGATGGCCTAACTTCATTTCAATTCAGGAGAAGGTCCTAATCCTGAGGAGATTTTGACAGCCATTAAGGTTACAGACACCAAGATTGCCCTGAAGTCTGGCTATGATAAGTATATCTCAGTGGACTCTGTTGGAAGAGTTGCAGGCAGATCTGATGCTATTGGTTCCAGAGAGCAGTGGGAGCCAATATTTCAGGATGTAAGATTGTTATCCTTAGAATAAGGTAGATAAAATTAGAAAAAGTAGATTTAAAGTTTTAAAGAATAAAAGAAAGACAGCATCTTCTTTGACAGATAAAGGTAGGTATTGTGTTATAGGGTTAGTTTTGATTGTTAAAACTTGTAATTGTTTGTTTAAGTTGATAATACTGTAAAATGAAGCATTTACCGAGCAGTGTTGAATTTCACAAGAATCTCTATGATTGTTTAACATTACAAGGTAGAATTGGTTAACTGCAGTGTCGCTTCTTGCATTTCAGGGAAAACTTGCGTTGCTTGGCTGCAATGACTGCTTTGTAGGAGTTGATGAAGAAGGAGATGTAGTTTGTAAGAGCAAAGTTGCTGGGGAGAGTGAAATTGTCAAGGTTGGTTTTGTTTTGTGCCCTTTGATATTTGAAACAAAATTCGCAGAGTTGCAGTTAAAATGCAATTTTCAAATAGTAATTTTGGAAATGATGTACACAGTAAATAATCGAATCATTTAATTCTAGGAATTTTATTCAGCTGATTCTTCATTGTGCTGCTTTCATGGACTATCTATTTGACATAGTTTTGTCTTTATTTGCTTAGATGCGCTGTTGCCTGTCTAGAGAAGTTGATCCAAAAGCCAACATACCATTAGAGGAAAGAGGAAAGATAAAAGATGCTGAAATCAACTATGTGTAAGTAGATATATTTAAATTTAAAGCAAATCAGACTCCATCATTGTATATGATAGATTGTAGCTAAGAATGGAAAAATGATTGCTTGGAAGGAGAAAGGATGAGATGCTTACACCAAGTTTGTGTCAATTAGTCACCATGTTTTATAAAATTTCCTTCTTTAATTCAGGAAGAAATTCCAAAGTTTTCAAGACCGAAAGTTAAAGATATCAAAAGAGGACATTAAAGTTCTGAAAAAGGCTAAGAAGAGTGGAGAACTCCATGAAGCAATGTTAGACAGGTGGGTTATATATTTCTGAAGTGTAAGTGGGGTTTACTTTCGTTTTAGGGGACTTGTTTGTGTATATGATCCTCTCTTCCTAGCTACTGTAAATGTTTAAGAATATCTCGGGGGATAATGTGTGTTAGTATTGAGACATTCCATCATACAGTGGTATTAGAAAACAGTTATTTTAATATGTCATAGAGATTAAATAATTATCAAAATATTTTAATTTCAGGAGAGAGAAAATGAAAGCTGACAGATACTGCAAGTAAAAAGTTGAGGCCGTATGTTCTTGGAGTTGACAATTTTTAATTCTTTTAATGTTGAAATATGGATTGCATAAACATTTACATATTTTGTAAACCTCTTCATCATTTTTTTACCTCATGTTCTGCAATGTAAGAGTTGAATATGGGATTATTAAAAAGACGAAGAAAGCACTCGGAGAGCGTAGAACGACGCCATGGACCCTGCACTGATAAATTGCACAAGGTCAATGTCATTGGTCCCATCTGGCACTAGCAGACATGGGAAAACTGCCTATCAGAGCCGTCACACTGCCTGAAAAGTCAGGTCCTCCCAAGATTTTTGATAATACAGGTCCTCTGGACTGGCAAAGTTTATGTGAAAATACAATAAATCAAAATAAACCACATGTAAACATAGGCTGATGGAAATGAATCACCAACTCAGACCAGCACATATTTAGGACCTGCAGACTTCCCCGTGTCTGGCAGTAGAGAAAAAATCCTTTTGAAATTTTGGATTCAGACAATTATCTGGACCATGGATCACCACTAAAATCTATTCACTTTCAAGTTAACTTATTTCTGATGTATTCGAAACTTTTCGAGTTGGGCTCGTGACAGATATGCAGATACAGAGGTGAAAACAAAATCTCCTTGGTATCGCTCATAGCAAAAATAACAGTACTAGCACTTGGTTGCAATATAGTTTTCATATTTTATTGTATTTTTGTACAGATATCTACAGTAATAACAATAAAGATTTATGTACAAATGTTTAACATTTTACATTGATCTCAAGTAAACTATGGTTACCTGGTTTTGCAGGCATTACCTTTCACCAAACAAAAGAGAAGCATACAATGTTCAAGGTGATGTAATGTGTAAATCTCACAAAAACCACAGCTGGAAACTTCTCCAGTAGGAATTGCAACTTCTCAATATATGAAGCCAATACTTTTTGGGTAGTGAACTTCATAAAAAGTTTTTAATAATTCTAATTCACCAATTTAAATTGATAATGTACTAAAATTTCACCACATCTTTGAAGTTTTGGACCTAATTATAGTATGGGCCACAGGCAAACAAAAATTGACTTGGAATTTATTCTGTAAAACAGCATCACATTGTTCAATGTGATATCACATGGTCAACATGTAACACTAGACTGTACTTGGGTGTCATATTGGCCTAAAGTGATTGCCACTAATTGGGAACTTTTAACGACTTTCAACATAACATGCAAACAAAAGCATGAAGTCACCATATCCATCAAATTGAGAGAAACTTTGAGAAAATAGTTTTTTTTAAGTGTAAGACATATTTTCATAATTTGTCAATATCACCATGGGCAATATTTCCATCTGTTATTTTTTTCACAAATCTCACAACATGATTATAAGAGTCGAAATATATTGAGTGGCACCAAACATTTTAAGTACATGCAGTTTGCAAGGATTTACCAATGTTTATGGAAATGTATAACATTTGATCAAACTGAGCAGAAATCTTAATGTGTAGATTGCACTTTTGATATTTTTTAGCCTTTTCCATCCCACAGACTAAGTTTATAACAATCTTTCCTTTTGACTTATATCAAGAATATTGATACCTTTAACTACTAATGTCTGTATGTTCTTATGTGTCTGACTTTGTACACAGTGCATAGCATGAGGTAACAATTATGTTTCCAGTATGCGTACAATATTAAGAATATAAGGTGCACTTAGACATAGAAGATAAATACATGTAACTTTTCCTCCATATAAAACTACCAGGCTAACAGATGGACCACATATTCAACCACCTTTGGTTTAACAGTCTTTCTAGAAATCTGCACTACAAATCTTTGAAGGCTAGTTCATTTAAACCATTCTACCAACCAAGAAATGCTTGTAAAATCTGCATGCCACTCTCAATGAAAAGAAAAACCAATGAATGTGTAATGCCAGGTGTTACAAAAATTTACACATGCTTCACGGTTTACGTGAGCTACAAATCACTGTGAGCAGTTTTGTGCAGAGGGCAATCTCAGCAAATTGAACCATTGGTAAGTTAATTTGGTTATCTTACAATGCTCTTTAGTCGAAAGTTGCTTTGAATTTATGTTCTTGTCTAAATGCACAAGAATGTACCTATCTACTTTATATTAAATCATAAGGAAAAGTGCCCTGCACATGACACAAAATTATGCTTAAATCTTATAACTGGGGAAATAAATCCCAATACATTCACTTCACAGTAACACAAGTTAATAAATAGGTATAGCATTACCATGCATCAAAAATAGTCCTGGAGTCTTGTATATAAGTCTCCAACAAATACTTCACTAAACCAAACATACAATCAGGGTTGTCACTTTTATACTTATTTTATGCATTGTTTTCCATTTTGATTAACCATTTGCTTAGATTCCAAGGTCTATATTCTTTTCAATAGCATGATAAACAGAATATATCACATTTTCAAATCTAAAGAGTTGGAAACATTCACAAATCACCTTCGTTATGAATCATTTCAGTTATGGGACATTAATCCTTGTTACTTATAAATTTCCATTACTAATTTCTCAAAAAAAAAAAAAAAAAAATTCACTATGGCGTATCAACTGGCAAACATCACTGGTATACATGAGACATTGCAGAAACTGAAACCTTCATATTACCCCTTTTATAATAATCATCACCATAATAATAATAATAATAATAATAATAACAACTTAATTGTATTAATTTTAGCAGGCTCGGAAGAGCTTTGCGTTAAGTGGTCATTTAAAAACAAATAGATATTTCATGTGAACATTTTCAGAAAAACCTTTAACAAAACTTTTTGCCTTACAACAAATTTCTTAAATAAATACTGTTTAGTATCACCATTGAAAGTGATATAAGATTATAATGTGATACACCTTGATAATAGAGATAATTGCCACAGTCTATTCATTTTAAAGTTTTATCTTAGTAAATCACAATTTCAATGAAGAAATAATGTGATAAACCTCATATTTAAATAGCTATCACTGATTTTAGCGTTTGGTTCAAGTTTTTACAGCATTTACAGTGAAATATCATAATGGTTACATCCCCCTTCAATAAAATAACTTCCACAATATTAGGAAAACACTATGTATATGAACTCTTCTACTTAAAATATCACAAGCTATTCTTCCCCCTTCTTTTCTTCATTCTCTTGATTGATAAAATAATATGTATCCAGACTCTGAATTCTTCTGAAGGTCTGATGTCAAGCCATAGAAATCTTCTATTGCAGAGGCATCTATTTTCTGAAAGGAAAATAATAATAAATATATAATATGTCATTATGTGCATATGTCTCTGAGAGTGAATGTATGACTTGATAATATAAGTGAGAAGCGTGAAAATACAGATAAAAAAATGGATAACTTTTCCATGATCAGAGTAACTGAATCTAGGACATAAGGGAAACCTAAAACTCTATTCATTGATTGAAAGTCAAACAATATCTTATTTGAACTAAATAATTGCAAAAATTAGCTAGTATTTTACTATATTTTACAGCATAAAATATTCTACTGTTTATCAGTGTTTTTCATGTCATTATATATAAGTAATCTATCAATATAGTTAAAATGGAACTTTTAGCTTACATCTACAATATCGTCATCAAAGAGCAGCCAAAAGCCATGACTCTTTACAATGCTGATATAATGGCCTCGGTTTGGTCCACTCCCACAATGCACTACGACAGCTATCAGGTCGTACATCCTATCAGGATTGTAGGCATCATCTGACTGAAATATCAAATAAACTATGAATGACAATTGATGACTGGAAGTTATCTCAAAGTTCTCTTTCTCTCTCCTGACTTTTCACATCAACAAAGCAGTAATTCATAGTAATTGTTTCCTTGAAAATATGAATTTAATGTGAAATTTTGCCAAGGCATAGATTTGTTTAGAAATGTAAATAAATGCTGTTCAAAAAACAATTTGCTTTAAAAGTGATCATCTTATGTAATTGACGAGTTATTTGTTGACAATGTGTAACATCATGCCAAAAATAATTTAAAAGGTGTTTGACTTACAGTGTTAAAGAGTCGTAACTCTAAAGGAAACACAACTCGATATGACAACTTGGTATATCTATTCAACTGCTCCATGTACTTAAAACGCTTTAAATGTAAAGCTAGAATCTGGGGTAACTTTTTCACTCGCATCCTGAAAAGATGAGATAATTGCAGCTTCACTAATAGTATAATTTTCGATGTTTCATATAATAAGCCACGATATAAAATTAAGAAGAGTTACAGAAATCTACTCAATGTTTTGCTAAAGAATAGAGTACTTGTGTTTGATACTTAAAGGGATAATAACTCTTTGTGTGAGGTCTATATTTCACAATAAAAACATTGTGAATAACTCATAGAAGTATAATATATTCTGTTTTACGACAAAAACAGCAGTAATAGCTATTATTCTGATATCTGAACTTGTCTTCAGACCACATGACCTCCATTCATGGCTATACTCTGTTATAATCTCTTAAGAGATTTTAACAAAAAACCAAACTTTTTAGAAAAAAACCAGGGACTAACTTTGAATGTAAAAATGGATTCATTAACCATTGGTAAGTATGGGAAAATTGTTGTTTACTCCAGGAAAATTCATTTTTTGGTCAAAACGAAGAGTTATTATCCCTTTAACATAAGCATTAACAAATCAATAAAATTCCTTGGTGAATCGAGGCCTCTTTTGGGCTAAAATAATGAAATTAGTTTCAAACAAATAAGTACTTATGTTACCTCTTTTGAGCCTCCTGCTTACTGCAGCAGACTTCACAGTAGTATTTGTGCTCACTACACAGGGTCTCTGTGTTACTGAACTCTCTCAGACAGTGAGTTATGGACGTGTTCTGTTCTACATCTACGGACAGGTCCAGGAAGTCTTCATCTTTACTGCTTACCTAGGGGTAAAAATATGTAGAAGCCATTAGCTATACCAGGGCTTGACATTAAGGGTGGCCCACTGGCCCTGGGCCACTGAAAACCAACCTAGGGCCATTGAATTGATGGGGTCACTGGCCCGAAGACCAAGTAAAATGTCATGTGTCAAATCATCCTTGCAATATTTACCCATATCGCGGGCCAGTATCGAAAAAAGTTAGTGTCAAGCCCTGTATACCTAAACCAATGTTTTCTTTGGGTGATCCAACTCTTTGAAATGCCAAATTAAACTTAACCCAGCATGAAAACAGCATCTTCCCCATTTAAATTGAGACAGTTTTTATCCTCGTATCTAAAACAAATATCAAGTTTGGTGAGTTTACCAGAAATTAGAACAAGGTAGAAAGACTCAAAAATGTCCATTTAATTCAGATGTGACATGTTGTATACTCACTGTCTCACAGTTAAGACATCTGGTTTCATTGGTTAGTGTCCCCTGAAAGATGTCATGGACCCAGGTTGGTTCAGGCTTGCCATTACACTGATGGTTGGGGTCCACTGGACCATTTTTAGGTTTGGTGCCTTGCTTGTCAGCTGAAGGGAAAAAAATAGACTGATGAGATATCTCTCACAATTGTGCAAGCAATGTTTTCCCAATATTCAAAATAATCATATTCAGATAATTGTTTAAAGAAAATGTATATTTTAAAATATTTTAGCTCAAAAAAGAAACTATGACAAAAGCAAAGGAATTCACATTTTCTTTGAAATATACTTACTGTACATGCAATGGACATGATATGATTTTCTACACAAGGTCTTGAGTTAATCAATAATTAAAAGTACCTTGAAGCAAGTCAGCTATTGTATTCAGCAAGTAATTGAGAAACTCGTGAGCATCCTGTTGCATATAATTGTCAAACACCTCTGAAAAATAAAGAAATATCCCAGTCAGTGAAAATCAGAGTATCATAACTATTATATTATTCTCATAAAAATATAAAACATGCTTTTTGATTTTATTTCATTTTTGCAAAGCTTTAACCTAGTTCAAAATGTGTTGTCAATTATTAGCAACTTCTTATAGAGGAGGAGATTAAATTTTTACCTAAAGCCACACAATGGGCATTTGATCTTTATGTAGCAAAAAAAAAAAAAAAAAACTTTTCTAGATATTTCTGAATCAGCAATTCGTATCTGCTCACCAATGTTTTCTTAAAAAAAATCATTAACCAAAGATAATTATTATCTATTACCCTGTTTTTTTAGTTTTATGTTTACAAAATTTTCAGCTATTCTGTTAATGGACAAGGAAGCACAGTCTGGTGAAATATTGTTGTGACAGTGACACAAAAATTAGATAAAGAGAAGTCCAGTTTCTTAATAATTTCTCAATAGTTACTTAACCATTACAGCTTGTGTACTCACCATTCTCCTTACGTAGCCTTTGTATAAACTTCTTTGGTGCAATGGTTCCCACCTTTTTCTTCTGTGTTGCAATGCTGTAGAAGAGATCTCCCAGACATGTCAAGAGGCTCTCTTTCTTCTGGTTCTTTTGTTGTTGTTTATAATGGAGCACCCTTTCCCGGAATGGTCGGCAAAAATACAGGGCTTGTAGCACCGAGTTGCAATAGCAAGTATTGCCAAACTGGAAAAACAATCAATTTTAGTTCAATAAGTAAATATATAAACATAATCATACGTTAATATAATCTCTGCTTATGATGCCATAAGGATTGCTCTAGTAATAAATCTTGAAAAACTAAGGACATATTTTTGGGCTTTGCTCACAGTCAGCAACAAATATTTGGAGATAAATGAAAATGTTTTTCATGTAAATGCTAACAAGCAACCCCAAGAGGCTGGATGGCATGACAGACTATTCCATGTTTTAAAGTGGCAAAATAACTGACAAAATCTGATACATGATTGTAAAATTAGCAAATTGTAAAACACAAATACAAAATACCATCAAAAGCAGAAATAAATGCAGATAAAAAAGATAACGGATCTGTACAATGATAAGGCAAACGACTGGTCAGAAAAAAATGTGGATCTTGAAGTTAAAAAAAAAAAAGATAATTACAAAAGAACTATAATAAAGAAATACAGTATGGAAAATTTTTTTTGAAGCAGTGCTGTTTTCACATTTTTGCTGATATGCAACAATATAGAACAAAAGCACCATAGCCAATCGGCACATAAATCATAGTCTACAAGGCTGTCGTAACTTGATTAGACTATCTAATGGCAACACTGCCTTCCAATAAGATGAAGGGCTATTTATGCATTCCCTATATACTTCCAGAATAGACCTAAACACAATTTAATGTGAACGGAGCAGGCAACAGCATGTTTGGTCCATTTTGGCATTTCAGTTTCTGTACGAGTACATCTGCAATGAATTTTAGTCAAACCTTTCTTTTTTGACAGAACTGTGGAAACAATACCAAGAAGAATTGTTCCTTTTTTTCCCCCTGTTCGTTTTGTATTTAGCCAAAATGCTAGTAAATGACTAATTTACATCTCACACACTAAGACCCCATTTCCATAGATTTTAGATCGATCTATCCCTGTGGGGAGTCTCACTAGATTACTGTCAGCTTAGCCATCTTAAGCGTCTGCCCTGCCTACTAAAAGCTGTAAAAGGGTAATTAACTATGGTGCGCGCTCGGCTGACTGCAATTTAGCGTGAACCCCCAGGGAGTTAGGTCGATCTAAATCTTAATCCCTGGATTGATCTAAATCTCTGGGAATACACCCTTATACTGAGTCTTCATTGCATTCACATTTTATATCTTCGTATATAATCATAAAAATCTGATGGTATTCAAGAAATCTTCCTTCTACCCTCCAGCTGGTGACAAAAACAAATAAATCTCACCATTCATCAAACAATAACCTAATTTCTACCAATAATAAGTCACAGGAGTTAATTTGTTGTGGTCTTTATTGAATTTTCCAATATAAGTAGGATAAAGTGAATGGATGCATTCCTTGGCAAGGCAGTAGATGTGTATCATTTAAGCTTTTCTGTACTTTATGAATAATTAACTGTTGCAGAAAGTTTATTTATAACCAGTGTATAGATAAATGTTGCAGGATGTCAAAGTCAAGCAGAAAATGAAGGTTTACACACCAAAATAACACATTTGCAATCACAAATAAGTTTGGCCTTTTGTTGACAAATTGTCTACAATTATTTTTTTCTTTGGCCTGGCACAATTATAACCATATATTTTTGCTTATTATAGACTTGAACTAATTTGCTGCTGGTTCATACCCATTCAACTCTCATTCTGATGACTGAATGCCTAAAAACCAAATGCAGGGACTTTCTATCATATGCAAAAAAGCCAATAATTGGATTGTTGGAATGGGTTTTTTTCTTTTCAAATTGCAAATATCCACAGCATTTTAAACATTAGCAAGAAGGACACCTATCACCTAATGTTCTTTTCACCATATAGTCACTTCATTACTAAACATTGACAGCAACTGATGGACGCAATCAAATGAACAACCAAATCAATCAAACAGCTACACCAATCAAATGGTAAACATAATAAATAAATAAATAATTGAGCATCATTTATTATGTCTTAAAAGTACTACCCTCAGCAAATAACTGCTTCATCAACTAAAAGGTATGATATTACTCTGTAATTTGGCAAGTATAATGACTGAAGTTCTGTGCAATGCCAAACAAACATATACCTTGATTACCAATCTTTTACTAGAACATGAGTAAAAATTTTCAAACTTTCAGATACATAATTTTTATAACAAGAACGTTGTATTTCTGTATAACATTTGTGGTGCTTTTATAATATAGAATAGAACTACAGAGCGCCTTTTTTTAATATTGTTGCTACCACTCAATAGGAATGTTATAATTTTAAGAAATTATGACTTACAAAATACAGTATCTGTAAAATTCACAATTTTCCCCCTTGAAAAGATCAAATAATTGTCATATATTCTTAACCAAATTTCATTTTAGACTTGTAGCCAAGGTTCTTCAAACTGAGCAGAATTTTGAGCCATGAAATATTTGGCAAATAATGCACAATATTTTATCAAATCATTGGCAATTAATTAATTTCTAAGATCACAATTTTTTCTTTTGTTTCAAACTTAAAGGTTTTACATCAATTGTAGACTAAAGGAGATATCATACTGACAAATATTGTCTAAAATATAGTAAGTTTATTACAAAAGAAAACATGTGGTCTTGTACAACCTGGCAAATTTATTTCAAAAGCAATTTCTTATTTCATAGCGAGCCTGCCTTCTTAATTTCTCAGGGCTAAACAATACCTCAGGCAACTTAAAATGAATTCCCATATACAACTAAAACCTGAACAAACCCTTCAAAGTCAACTCAACTGATTACCAATCACTCTCCCGATCAATACTTGCATGGACTATGCTTCAGGAGAAGATGCCTTTCTATGACTAGATAAGACTTGGCTGAACCATTTTTGTATAAAAGCTTTTCTACTCATTTCTGTATGTCAATCTCAATTACTTTCCATCTGTTTTGCAGTGGCATTTCTCAGTACATGGTTTGATGCAGTGCAAATCAGCTTCTGTACAAGAAACCACAGTAAAAATTGTGCTCATTATATAATGGAGTTTCAACTGATTGCTCAATCAACCACAAATTACATCCACTATGTACTCCATCACTATTCATGTACAATGTGGTAGATCAAAATGTTTAACAATGTGTGATAGTATACTGCAGGTTTAAATACAAAGTTTTTTATTTTTATCATCCAATTCTACTAAACCTTTTGGATAACAGGTAAAAAATATACACTATAAAGTGAGAAAACCATACTGCAAAATAATTTGAAAATGCTGACTGTAATATGTAAATATTTTAATGACTTAATCATTGTCTACTCTAGCTAAATATTTTCTTGTTGCAAGAGAATTTAGCTTAATAGTTCAAATGTACCGGAAATAAGCTGACATATCCTTACATGTTGCATGCTACCCCCAATGCATCTTCTTGGAATATTTTTCTTCCATTTCAAATCATCAAAGAAATTAAAATTATAAATCACAAATAAATTGCAAACTGGCAAATTAGTTCAATTTTTCCTCCTCATTTCCTCCAATTGTTTGTAGTTTCATTTTATGTCTAGAGCTTTTTTTTCAACTGGTTTTTCAACTATACATTTTACTAGACATATCATCTTGAAAATCCTCATTGTTATGGTATCGATAGCATCTCCCTTTCTTCTCAGGACAAAAAAATTGTCTGAATGACTAACGGAAGATTTAAGAAACAAATGCACAAACTAGTAGAAAGTTTAGACAATAGCATCAACAGATTTAACTGATAAATATATATATATATTATAAAATTAGATTTACAAATACTTACATTGACTAGTCCAAAGTAGTGTTCATTAATTGGGAATTGGTCTGTTCCAATCTCCTTTTCTAGCTGAGATGCATTTGCACCCTGAAAATGACAATATTATATTTTAATTTATACAACCAACATCAGCCATTTTGTGTTCTCCAAGATAAACGTCCCTTTAATTAAAATCCTTAATTGCAGAAAATATAGTACATTTAATTTGGTCATAAGATCAGAAGCAACAAAAGCTAGCAAAAAGTGCCAAAAGATATTGGGTTGGCTCATGTGTATATATAATACTTCAAAAATAATTAGAGATTAATTCTACCACACATGAGCACTGAAGAAATAGGTACATCAGAATGCACTAAAGGCAGCACTGGCCCATATGTGACCAGTCCATTGAGGCACCCCCTTTGACAACCTATTCAAAAATCTCCATTCTCCATCTAAATTTTTATACTATGTGAAAGTACGAAAGTACAGAACTTTTGGGATCTTATGCAACAAATCCCTTGAAAGGCGAAATATTTGTAAGGTGATAAAAATACACTCAAGAGATCAGAGCTTTCTGGCTGAAATGTAAGGACATATTTGCCCTAATATGGCTCTGTAAAAAGTGCGATATTTCTTTTAACTTTAAAGATAGTTTTAAAAATCCAAAAGTATAACATTTTGGCCCTTGAATAGAAAACACTCCATTTTAGTTGTATTGGCTATGCCTGGAAAAAAATATGACTGAAGACATAAATAATTTGTCATATTTCTATAATTTTGCTTTGGTCTGACAGATTCTGTTTCAGTCTGCCGGATTTTCATGCTTGTCTGACAGATTTTCTGGACTTTTGTAAAGTCTGTCTTTCAAAATATATTTCTTATTCTGACTTTTTCCGATATACCTATAAGAAAAAATATTTTCATATGACAAAGAGTTAAACTCAACTCTACCAAATTATTCAAGAAAAAAGCTGTCTGCTTTTTGAAAGATTGGAACTAATCAAATATTGAAAGACTGAATGGTACAGTTGAGCTATATACATATTTTACTTGTAAAGAAATACACAGCCAGACAAGCTAACTTTAGATTGTCAAATATATGTGAAATTACTCACATAATACTTTTTATCATATTATAAAAAGCGAAATCCCACAGGGTTTTTAAATGATAAGTCTGACACTGAAAGGCCTATTTAAATGTTAACGTCATCAACATAACTGGAAATTATTTACGGAGGAAACATGATTAAGCAATATATGCCACTTTCAAATTCACTTCACAAAGCCAATCCAAATACAATGGCAAAGACTAATAAATTTATCATGACATTCAGACTGTCTTCAGGCCGGGGCGTACGATGTATGCAGGTGCGAGTTAGGTGTCAAAATTTCGGCTACTGGACCCCAAATAAGATTATGATCATTTCCATTAAATGTGCTTGAAATTTCAACTTATTATATTGACATTTTTGAAAGATCCGAGCTCTACAGAATGCACTACAGCAAATGTTTGTTTAAGTGTTCAGAGCTGAGATATCTTACCATTTTAACGCAGAAATCGGCGATCATCCTCGCACTTCAACATCCGCCATATTCCTTCCGCAGTAAACATTTGGATCATGGGAAATATAACCTTTTATATATCTAACTTTTTGTATACTATATTTAAAAGAACTTGAAAATTCTACTATTCTTAACGCTAAATTATGTCTCTCATTACCAATAAAGCAGATTAACTTGAAAAATTAGCTTCTCGTGCTCATGTCACGTGATCGCCCTCTTTCCCGTAGCAGCCATATTGTGAGTGGTGCATGTGTCTTTCTCCTCAAATTATTCTTCTTTACGCTGCCCAATCGCCCTTAATAACTAACAATAACTTAAGACATGTTAACAAGAAACATAAGTTTACTTTGGAAACGAAAGTTAAAGTTTCTGATGGTATATTTTCTCTTCACGTGTTGGCATACATTCATCGTGTAACAGAGTAATGGAGAAATGTGATTCAACTGGGAATGTGGATATACGCCGGCTGTGCAATATCTGAGCATCGTGATGTACCTGGGCTGTATAAGGCGATACAATTTGAAGGCGAACATGACAGTTGTATTTAGCATATCATAAACGTCAAAAATACGTAATAAAGTAATATGTGTGATTCAATGATTGCGATGGGTGGGTTTTGCAAAGAATGGATAAAACATTACCTGAACGAAGAATGTGAATTATCCATATCATTAATATAATATGTTTTGTTTATAAGTTGTATGAACCTAGACATTTCTTTCTCCAACAGTGCACTCTGGCTGTATTATTTTATAAGATGTACATCATAAATAACTAGTAGTGGGTCTGTTTTCTAAAGGTTAAATGCACCTGTTTCTGTACTTGCCAAATTTTTCCTTAAGGTGTCATCATGACGAACACAAAAGGCATACGTCGTGGCACCCGCTACATGTTTTCGCGGAAATTCCGCACAAAGGGTGCCATTCCCTTGTCAACATACTTCAAAACCTATAGACGTGGAGATATTGTTGACATCAAAGTAGGTTCTTTTCTCAAATCTTTTGCCAATTTTTTAAAAGAATTTTTTCCTTTTTCAGGTATCAATACATTATTTATTATAATTATTGTTATTATTATTATTATAAAAGAATTTTTTTGTGGAAGTATCATGTTATTGTCCATTTGCATTAAATTTTCTTCACTGGCCAAATTAGCAAATGTAATAAAAGGCCAGGTATAGATTTTTCAACTTATGAACAACAATTAAATTAATTTACAATGTGTGTTAATTATAATTACCTTTTCATTTCATTTTTGTAGGGAAATGGTGCCATTCAGAAGGGTATGCCACACAAGATATACCATGGCAAGACTGGTCGTGTTTATAACGTGACTCCCCATGCTGTGGGTATCATTGTCAACAAGAGAGTCAGGTAATTACAACATATGGAATCTCAGTGGAATGAAGTCAATTTAAAGGGCCACTCCCATGGATTTTCCCACCAAAATGAATTTTTTAAAGTTCTCTCCATGCATTTGAAAATCCCCCACAGTCATATCCATGTCCTGTAAAGCCTCTTACATTTCCAAACTCAGACTTGAAAGATAATAAAACCCTATAGATAAAATTTAATCTGAAGCGTACCTTGTGACGTCATTATCTCAGCCTCCTTGGGTAGCCATTGCCAGCTGGCAATGCCTGTATTATACATAGCACAGGGCTGCCACACAAAACACCCCTCCATTTTTATGTGTGAAATTGAGGCAATGTGCATGACCGCAGATGCCTCTACTTTGACTGGTCAGTCATTTTAAACTTAAGTATTAAATGAAAAATGGAATAGCACATTGAATCTAAGTGCAGGAAGAGGTCGAGCAATTAGTATTGAGTAGGAAAAAATTACTCTTTACCCCAGGAAAATGCATTTTGGTGGGCAAATCCTATGGGGTGGCCCTTTTACATGAAAGTACACTGATATTTCGTCCAGTTTGGGGAAGAAAAATGTTTTCAGGTGTATTACTACAAAAAATGCATAGAATTAAGAATTGAAAAGATTTTATATATTTTAGTATAATATAATTTTCAGCAATTGATGAGGGAAGGTTTGGTTCCTTTGATTATTAAATTGACACCAATTTGCTGTATTTCTGCTTTCAGAGGCCGCATTATTGCCAAGCGCATCAATGTGAGAATTGAGCACATCAGACACTCTGCATGCCGTGTTGACTTCTTGAACAGAGTACATGAGAATGAAAAAATAAAAAATGAGGCTAAGGAGAAAGGAGAGGCACCTCCCCACTGTAAAAGACAGGTACAGTAGTGTAAAAATAAAAAGAATGGCAATAACTTTTTCTTAATGCAAATTTGATAAACTCCTCTGAGGTAAAATGGTAAAGAATATAGCAGGAATGAGAATTTTTTCCAATGTTTGAAAGATTTCTTTTTGAAATTTGAAATCTTATTGCATATTTTCAGACTGTTAGACAAAATTGTAATTAATATCTTGAATAAGTCTGTTTAGTACCTTCTCCAGAGTTTTATTATAATTACTTATTAAGATAGAATATTGGAAATGTCATCATCTTACAGGTAAATGAAGTTCATGCAACAGTGTCATGTTCTCTAGTTTTGTATCAAGTTGTCAGACCAAATCACACAGGAGGTTGATATAAATGTTATCTGTTGGTTTTCATTTCCCCAGAAGTCTTAGTATATGATTGTATTCATTCCAGCCTAAGAAGCCAAGAGAAGCTCACACAGTCAGGACCAGATACAACAAGCCACAAACCATTCAGCCCATCCCATACGAGTTTATTGCATAAATAAACATGGACATGTTGGCATTGTAGAAAAATAATAAAGAACTTTGAATATAGGAAAATGATTTTGTTGTGGTGTTTTTTGTAGAGAGATTTTTCCCAATGTCAAAGTTTTTTATGGTTTACCTGTGTGAAGTTTTAAAGTAAAATACTCTAAATGAAGGGGAGAAATGAGGATTTGCTGGATTCCTGTACAATTATAAAAAATTTGCCCATTACACAATTCACATAGGGTGTTTTTTGCTCGGTGTGTAATTATCACTAAACCTAAGAAGATGGCATAGATTCCCTGTTTAGCCCACATAAATCACTACTACTAGCATCCTTCATAACTCTCTTAAGGTCAACATCGTGCCAATGAATAAATCGGATCAAGCAGCCAAAAAATGCTTTAAAAACCTTTTTCTCCCTGTGTAAGGAAATGTCCAACAATATAACAGTGAGATGATAATGAGAAAATGCCGAGTAATTGTTCTCTCAAGCCAGGAGTTGCTGCATTTTCTCTTGAACTGAGACCTGCAACATATTCTCTTTGAAATTATTCTCTTCAGCCAAATGAGGGGGAGGGCATTCACTACATGATTATCTTCTGCTTCCAAAATGGGCAAATTTTATTTCTGAATTTGTGACTGGAAAAAAAAACTTGACCATGAATAAGCCAGAATTACCTTACAACTTCCACTGAAAAAAGGTTGAACCACTTTTTGACAGTTTGTGGTCCTGATGCAGCTAAACATGTATATCACTAGCAAATTCACATGCCAGTAAGAGATGGGACTATTTTAAATTAAATTCTGCCTACTAAACTGTCAGTTGTCTTGCAATATCTGCTGAATAGTTACATATTCTAAATGTAAGAGTTACAGCCCATTTGACAAATATCAAAATATCAACAAACTAAATGGATTTTTGACACATTTATGTAAAAAATTCATACAAACAGTGTCACATACATGCATAATTTTTCAAAATATAAATAGAGATGCTACAACTGCATACTGACATGAAAGAAAATCTTGGTAATGGTATGGTTATAATATTGTAAAACTTGATTCCCTTCATCCTGATTCAGTTACATGTTCACAAGTTTAAACTGCCATCGAGATATTAATAAATGTTCAAAATTATATTGAATTAGATATTTTCAATAAAAAATCAGTATATGGATGCAAACTACTTTTTTTACATACAGCAACTTAAACAACATGACACGTGCATCATGTTTGACTTATCCTGGACCATAAATAATCGCATACAAAAGGAAAGTCTTATATATTACATTTTTGCATCTTTCACTCTTAGTATAAGCAGGCTAGTTCTGTTTATTTTATCAATTTGGGAAAATCCTGCTTTCACTAACAGGAGTAAAACAGAAAATGTGGAGGAATGTCAGTTAACTAAGTTGAAATAACGTTTTGAATAACAATAAAATCTATGGCATTTGAGCACAACAGTCTCCCTGCTACTTATCACGTGGTAGCTATTGTGCCTCCTGTCCACCAGTTCTCAATGCTGGACAACCACACAACTTTATATCATGCTGTTGATAAATCCTCTGTATCAGTTGCTTTAAACAGGGATTCCTTGCATTTATTGCCTAAAACTTGCTTGACTGATACTCTTCTGGGAATGCAAAAACATGTCTTCCATCTCCTTTAATCTTGGGCAAGGTTCCAGCATTGGGGATCACATTCCATGACAAGGACAGTGTGACATTTTTATTGCCTCTGAAAAGAGTTTGTGGAGAATTTGTCATCTGAGTTAAAAGCAAATTAAGAAGTTGTGAACATTGTTTGCCAATTCATTTACTTCTGCATATTTTTAAGTGCAAGGTTAAAGGGATAATAACTCTTTATTTTGGCCAAAATATGAATTTTCCTGGAGTAAACAACAATTTTCCCATACTTACCAATGGTTAATGAATTAATTTTTACATTTAAAGTAAGTCCCTGGTTTTTTTTCGAAAAAGTTTGGTTTTTTGTTAAAATCTCTTAAGAGATTATAACAGAGTATATCCATCAATGGAGGTCACGTGGTCTGAAGACAAGTCAGATATCAGAATAATAGCTATAACTGCTGTTTTTGTGGTAAAACAATATATTATATTTCTATGAGTTATTCACAATGTTTTTATTGTGAAATATAGATTTCATACAAAGAGTTATTATCCCTCTAAAATGATAATTCTAGTGGAGTAAGCTAAATGTGTATTAATGCAATTTCATTAACCAATTACCATGGCTCTTAATTCCATTTGAGAATTGAGTTATAGATGTGGCTGCGAAGAAATGACACTATCTAGGAAATAGGTCATTTGCCAATGCACTGTAAGAGAGGGTATATTACTTTTACATCATCAAGTTTTACATCTACCAGACCCACTCGCTCATAAAATATCATACCAAATACTTACTTTAACCCATTACCATCATCCCAGAAATAATACTTTGTGTTCATACTCCTGTAGTCTAACACAGCATTTTCTCCTCTTTTGATTATTTTATCCCATAATACAACCTGGTTTACCTCCTAGAATAAAAAGGCCAATATTTTTATTGTATAGATTTTCATCTAGTAGCACTTCATATGTTATGTTCATCAGATTACCCATCAGATTATCCAAACTGTTCTAAAAAAGGTTGCAGGACTTAACAAAGAGACTGGAATAGGTTGCCTGTCAATTATTGAATTTCAATTTTTTTCTATCAATATCACAATTCTTTTTTTCATGCTTTTATTTAAAATCACAATGAACTTTTTGTTAATAGTTACTGAAGGTATGAGTTAAAATTTGTTCAATTCACTTACATTGCTTTTAGTCTGGTACTCAGCTGTTAAATATACAAATAGCAGCTTTACATTCCAGTTAAATATTGAGTTCAGATGTAACAAAAAGTAAAGGAGAAATACACACTCATTGTCAAACAGCTAAGTCTAAAAACAATTACTTGTATTTAAAATCGTTTGCTTTTTGCTAAATGTTTTTTTTTTTTCAATTTTGCTAATTTTAGTCTGTCATTAAAACGATACATTTCTAACATGGATGTTATTGACAGAAGAAAAATCTATAAAAAAGGAAATAAAAGGATATCTGCTTGCAGGTCAAAGGTTATGAAACCCAAGTCATTCTTCTCCCTAGAGGCACTATAGTCTGGTACATTCTTCCTGAAAAGAAACAAAAGTACTCTAAACTTAAGGTTTACATTATATAATTTTAAAAGTTCCTTTTAATACATAATTGAGCAATCATTTCCAATCTAGTCATTTTCTTTATCTACAAACTGAAGCAAATTTCATCTGTAGCTCTGATATTTACATCATATGTTAGCTACATGTATACAATATTTAGGTACACAAGTACAGAGTAGCATTTGAGTGAGGGAATATGGGGGGGGGGGGGGAGGGAGGAATTTACTGCAGTATGAACCATTAATTCTCCTTACCACAGGTTAAGCCTCATATCACACTGTGCATTCAATATTTATCGACATCATGCAAATCACTTGGATTGTGTTTTTCTGTCAAAATTGCATAAACAAGTATTAACTAAAAAAATTTTGTACAGAAGTCATAACCCAGTACTGCTGATACACTATTTTGTTCAGCACACAGCTATTAACAATTTATTTATTGATGAATAAAATCTCCAAAATGACCCAAAGATGTCGTGGCAATTTCAAAGACATGCTTGTTAAAACAGTTCGTTAAACTGCAAAGATCATTTTCAATCGACTTCTCACAAATCTCAGGCACACGTCATCGTAAACATATGGCCATCAAAAGCCATCACAACTTACACTATGAGTTTAGCTGTGTTCATCGTCACTGGTGCCAAATGATCATTGAAAGCTGTTGTCAGAAAACAGCCAAACGTTAGAGCGGCCATTACACTCAATGTGAAGGCGAAAATAGTGTTCGCCCGGGATAAAAACGTGTTCATCTTGGATCACCGGCTTCTCCTATCCTCCATTCATTTACAACGAGAATACCGCAAATCCACGTGTAGTAAATATATTATTGGTCGTGGAGTCAGGTGGTCTATCATGTGACAAATCACGAGAATCAAAATGGCGCTGCCCATTGGCAAGAAAATGCTGCTCGCTGTTTTAACACTGTGTGCTTTAGTTTTTGATAGTGCAAATGGCATAGGATTTCATCGCAGTAACTTGTATTCGCGTACTAAGAGTATTTTGTCACCAGGCACTTACAGGACTTTGTACATAAAGACAAAGGTACATAATTGTTACGTTGATTACGCTGTTATATGCCGCTTACGGCTGCAAGAATTGCAACGATTACAGTAGCATTTTCTATATTTTGTTTTTGATTCTTTTGTATATGATAAGCGAAAACCAGAAGTTGGAGGACTGCTGTTACAACTGCTGACCAAAATTTTAGTTTTGGAAGTGAAGTTGGTGACTGTGCAAATGTGTACTGGGGTATCTGTATTTTTAAAAAGTTTATTACGTTTTATACTAGTTCGTTTATATTGGCTTATCTTGCAGCCTATATTTTCAGGTTGATCACTTCAGTTTCACCAATGATGACACATACATGATGAGATACCTAGTGGCAGATCAGTTTTGGGACCAGAAGGGTGGGCCCATCTTCTTCTACACAGGAAACGAGGGAGACATCACCTGGTTCTGCAATAACACAGTGAGTTCCAGGGGAATTGCCTATTTTAGATGTTTTATTACAGGGTTTTTGATGTTAATGTTAATATATATAATATTTTTGTGAAGATATGTACATAGAATGAATCAGGTTTTAAAATCTGGATTTGCAGCTTTGCGTATGTAATGATGTAATGGAATATTGTTGTTCTTCAGGGCTTTATGTGGGACATTGCTCCAAAGTTTAAAGCAATGCTTGTGTTTGCAGAGCACAGATATTATGGAACCTCAATGCCATATGGCGCAGAATCCTATAAGGTAGGGTAACTAGCACCGAATGTTATTTATAAACTTACAATAAATTGTTTAAGCCAAATATCCATCTTTCTATCCACCCCTCATCCGTCTATCCATCCTTTCATATTATTGCTACTTTTTAGCGTTATTTAGTATGCGCACAGATTTAATTTTATTTACCCAGGATGTTCAGCACCTAGGATATCTTACCTCTGAACAAGCATTAGCAGACTATGCATTACTCATCAATCACATGAAGTCCACCATACCTGGAGCAGAGAATAGCCCAGTGGTGGCATTTGGAGGCTCATATGGGGGCATGCTGGCAGCATGGTTCAGGATGAAGTATCCAAGTGTTGTTGTAGGGTAGGTTGTTTATTGTGGGGTTTTTACAGCTTGTACTGAGGTATGGCACTGGTTATTGATTTCTTAAATATTTTAGAAAAATATTTTGACTTAAAGGTATCAAGAGATAAGAAAAATCACATTGTAGTTAGTCATGCATCATTCATACAACTTTATACTATGATGTTTCAGGATTGTGCAACTTTATTGTCCTAGTAGCCTGTTTTTCAGACTCTGATTAATTTTCTAAATCTTTTTCTGGTTTCAAGTAAGTGAATGCCCAAAAATAGATGTGTTCTTTTCTCAGAATGATATATGATAACTTTTCGTAAGTTGAAAAAATTCAACCTCCCTTCATATTTTCACACTTGCATAATTGCTACGAAATATCATCCCATATGCCATAGGATTTCCTTTCTTTATTCCTTTTGTGTTAAAACTTTTTCAGTGCTCTAGCTGCTTCTGCACCCATATGGCAGTTTCCTGGTGAGACGCCTTGTGAAGTTTTTTACCAGATTATATCCAAGGACTATGCTATGTCCGGCCCAGGCTGTGCAGATACCATCAGGGCTTCTTGGAAGGCAATTACAAATCTTGGTCAGACAGGTGAGTCAGAGTTGGATATATTCTTTCATAATAGGTATGTAGTTTATTTGAAAATGATTCAAAAGATGTGTTTTTTTTTTTTTTTTTTTTTTCTTTGCCAATTTTCTGATGATCGAGTCCGTAAATGAAAAAATTATACAATCATTGGTTAGTTGAAATGGTATAAACTCAGTTGATTTTACTTGGCTTATTTTGCACACATACATATGATCTCTCTCTCTCTCTCTCTCTCACACACACAGTTGCTAATATTTTTTTAACAACTTTTTCACTTTCTCATTTTCTTTTTTACTAAAATATTAGCCGATGAGGTTGAATTTATAATTTTTTTCTCAGATGCTGGAAGAAAGACCCTCAGTGAGACATTCCACCTATGTAAGCCACTTAAGACCACAGCCGATGTGAATGCCATGAAAGCTTGGTTGTCAGAGACCTGGGGAAACCTGGCTATGGTGGACTACCCTTACCAAGCTAGTTTTCTCGAACCATTGCCAGCTTGGCCTATCAAGGTATCATATAAAATAATTAGGTTGAAATATCTGTTCCATTTTATACCTCAAAAAAAAAAAAAAAAAGGAAAGAAAAAATTGGTGTTAAGGTTGGTGTTGAGATGCAAGGATTTGTTGAATTATTGTAGATTTTTCAGTGTCTGCTGTATTCTCCAGAACTAGGGAATTGACTGCAGTTTTTCTAATTTGTTCAAGTAATTTTTTTTATTAATCTTAAAAAAGTCTATTCATGCCATTTCTTATACATTTCTTACTTCTCAATTTGATTATTCTTTTCATTCAGGTTGTTTGCAGTCATTTGGTTAATCTTACCAAGTCCTCAGATCTTCATCTTCTCTCAGGTATTTCAACAGCAGTAGGAGTGTACTATAACTACACAGGGCAGGCTAAGTGCTTCAATATCTCACAGCAAGGAACTGCTGACCTGGGAGATCAGGGCTGGAACTTCCAGGTAAGAAATTTGTAAGTAAACAGAAAAAGCAGATATTCAGTCCTTTTTCTCAAAAGAAAACACCCACGACTTCCCTCTAACATCACCCTATATGTTTTGGAGAACTGCCACTGACTGTTGAGAGAGAGCTCAGTTGTGACCAAGTGTGCTCTCTCTAACGCCATATCAGCTATTGATAACAACAAAGCATTGCTGATATAGAATTGGGTTTCCAGTAGACTGCAAATCTCTGGGTAATCTTATAGACAATCTGTATTTTAGACTACTATGTTACTACATTAATGTTGATGTCTAAAATAGATGTGGCATTTTTTTTTTTTTTTTTGCTCTATTTCAGCCCTGTCTGGTGGTCTCTGTCAAAATTATTCATGCAGATTAGTAGTTTCAACAGGCAGTGAGAATTTTCTGATATCATTATTCCTTGTCCTTTTTTCTCTGCACTGAGACTAAATGCAGGAAGCAAAGAAATATAACATAAGCCTACACACAACTTCTTTCCTGATATGCCAAATACTTTTTACTTATATTACCAAGACACTGATGTATTGACAAGCTGTTGCAGAACAACACGTGCCCATTCTTACACATGAGGGTAATTTTAAGGCTGCACATATAACTTCCATCCTTGGGCATATTTCCTATATATTTCAGGCTTTATATATTTCAGGCTTGCTCTGAGATGGTGATGCCATTGTGTACTGATGGTGTACATGACATGTTTGAGCCTCAGCCCTGGGACTTTAATGCCTTTGCCAAGGGCTGTAAAAAACAGTTTGGTGTGGTGCCAAGGCCCCAGTGGATAAAGACCCAGTATGGGGGAAAGAATATTACTAGTGCTTCCAATATCATTTTCAGGTAAACATTAGTACCTCAAAGTAGAATTTTGAATTTAAAGTCATAATAACTCTTCGTTTTGGCCAAAAATTGGATTTTCCTGGAAAAAACGGCAATTTTCCCGTACTTACCAATGGCCAACGACCCCATTCCTGCATTCAAAGTTAATCCAGGGTTTTTTTCCTAAACGTACGGTTTTTTGTTAAAATCTCTTAAGAGATTTTAACTGACGGAGCTCTCTCTGACATTGCAAAGTCACTGGTGACCTACTTAAAACCGCGGGAAAAGCAGACAACAACAACACTATATAAGATTCATGAGATATATTCGTCTTTTTGTTAAAAATGCATTTATATCCGCAATGTGTGCCATTCTGGGCTTTTTCGTTATCCGACGCACTGTACAAAAACTCGCAACTTACGTCTGCGTCCGCATTAATGGGTTTGGCACCATGTTATATTGGTCTCGAATGAACGCGAGAATCCGCGTGACACCATTACGTCATTAGCAACGAATGCACTTGTCGACCGGAAAAAAGGCATCGTAAGCCCTATTGACAAGCACAGATTTTAGTTTTCGGCCGTTTTAACGGCCGTTTTAGTGGTAAAATACAATAGAATATATTTCCATGCGTTTTTTACAATGTATTTCATGCGGATTTTTGAATCTCAAAGGAAGAGTTATTATTGCTTTAAGTAACTGTAAAAAATGGAATTTAATCTAAGGTGTCATCTAATCATTTCATTATCAAGTTTAAGTTTACACACGTTTATTACATCGACAAATTTTAAATCTGTTTCTGTACTTAAAGTGACACAACGTTACATGACTGACATACATTGTTGAGTTAAAAAAATTGTGTATACTTTCATTTCAACTGAATGTCCGGCAGTCTTCACCCTATTAAAATGTTAGATAGATTAAATGTGCAGAGTAATATTGATATCTGTATACATGCCATTCCCTCTTTTTCACACCTGTTCACTTTTTGTTCATGATTTGCTTCACAGCAATGGTCGATTAGACCCATGGTCAGGTGGGGGTGTCACAACGTCCCTCTCAGACTCCCTCATAGCCATCATCATAGAGGAGGGGGCTCACCATCTGGACCTCAGGGGAAGCAATCCTCAGGACCCTCAGTCAGTCATAAAGGCCAGGCGACAGGAGATGGGCATTATTAAGAAGTGGGTGCAAGGGTGATGCACTACAAGTTCAAGTACATCCAAGATGCAAAAAAGTTGATGATTTGCAATAATAAATGTGCCAAAATGGTTGTATTCAAGAAGTCATTGCATGGAGGATGTTGCTGGTGGACTTAATTGAGTCAGACCAGGAAAACTAAGTTTTTGTCACTACAACCGATTCATTTATAGAAAAAAATCTGCACATTTTTACTTTCATTGATATAGGAAGTTAATCTTGTGGTTCAGTAACTTTACAACTTAGCCCCAAGAGAAGATACTCATAGAACAGTCTTGATTTAATATAAATTTTAGTTTTTAATAGACATTCTGTCATATCACATTCCTTGAACATTTTAAGCAGCTGATACATTGCTCAGTATGTTGGAAGCATAACAGCTGAAAAGGCATTTTTTTGTGATATTTTGCAAGTAGCAAGGTAGAATTATTCTTGTCAATTCTTTACTTTTTGTAACAGAATGGGGAAGAGCACAAGGAATAGATTTATGTACTTATTGGGGATTTTTTTCTTGTCAGAAAAATGTGGAGTTCTCACAGGTTAAACACTATACTCTGCATCACGTAATCATTGTTACACATTCATTGCTGGATTAAGCACAATGTTTGGATTGTTCTTTTAAGAGTATTAAAATACTCTGTATTTTCATATTAAACTATGCAAAATGACTGTAATTATCAGGTGGAGTGCATGCCTTTGAATTGTCCAACACAAACATAAGTCTATTAATATAATATTTGTCAAAGTACGATGCAAAGCTAAATTATTTTGATTAACAAAGGCAATTGCCTTGTTGCTGAGCAACAAAGTATAAATGAACCTAACTTTTCCATATTAAAATAAATTTGCATCATACAATATCATTCTAATAAAAATTAAGTGAAATTCTTTGTTGTTATTATTGAACAAAGGTAGATCCAGGCATAATTGTGTTGAATACCTGACACATTTTGAGTAATTAAAACTGTTAATGATGTACTCCAAATGACAGCAGGTAAAATGTGCCTTATAATTAAATGATAATAATGTATATTTTTAGTCGTTATCACTTGATGAAACGAAACTCAAAAGCATTGAAGCAAACAACTAGTAGGAGGAATGCATATTCATTGTATTAACAGAAAAATATTTTTACTGTATAGTACGTTGATTCTTACTAAATATGCCACCAAAATGACTAAACTAAATCAAAGGTAAACAAATGTAACAATGACACTATCCATGGCATTTGTCACTTTGAAGAAAAACGTGGATGTTTCAAGACCTGTTCCCCATACCAAAAGAGCACAGTGTATAAGCATTGACATTACTTCTACTATTATAACAATAATTACTGCACTTGAACCACAAGTCAATGCAATTTAATCACCAACTTGCTACAATTTGGGGGCATTTTTTGATTGGGTTCAGTCCTACATGTAAATATACTTAACGGTGCATCATGAATGATATACATAATCATTTTATTTCCACTAAAATAAACATCCCATAAATAACAATCACAGCTGTTATCACAGAACAATGACACTAAACTTTAACTGGTATACATCTCAAATAAAACATATATCAAATATGTTAAAATAACTCTACAAATTAAACTGATATATTCCACAAATATCACACATCTTAAATATGATAAAAGAATTTACTTTATGCCATTATATGTATATCAAGTTGACATAAGCTCTTAGTAAAAGGGACCCAGAGTAGCAAATCATCTTCCACTGTATCCATAAATAGCATTTAAATAAATGAATAAATAAATAAAAAAAAATAAAACTCCGAGGGTCCAATTCTGTTTGTACATAGGATTTGTTTAACTGCATGCAAAAAAGGTGTCATTTTGGTGCATCAGGTGGAGGAGGACGAGGTGGCTTTTTTAATTCCGACATTGTGACAGTATGTGTGCCATTCTCTTTAGAAACCTTGGCTGTTTTGTAATCTTCTAAAACAGCCTTTCCAGTATCTTTGGCAGCTCTCTTGGCTATTGCTTTGATGCCCATTTCCTTGACATTGTATCCAGTCATGACAACATGGCCTGCTGTGTACAAAGAATGCTCTGTGGCACTGCCAACCTGCTCACCATATCTAAAATTATCACAGTCAATTCATTAAAAATACTTATAAAAAGCTAGTTTTTTGTTGTTTTTACATGCCTAGATGTTTATTTATGATGACTGTAAATTTTTGAAAGTTTGCGTAACTGACTTTGACACATATTTATTGCAGGTGGATTGCACACGAAAAACAGAAAATATTCTTTTGGTCACAGACAGATGCTATTTAAATGTATACCAAGAAAACATATAAGAGCAAATACTGAAATGAATGATAAGTAAACTTACTTGTGCTGAACAACATCAACTGTCTGTGTAGCAATGCTTTTTCCAAGAGCTTTGGCTGCAACTTCTAAACCATTGTACACTGTTCCTAAACCTAAATATAACAGTTATTTAAAGATGACGTGTCACTTATTTTAACAGTTTTCAGCAAACTCAATGAAATGACACTAACTTTTAAAAACTTCACTTCTACCTACCTAAAAGCTCAACAGATGTGAGAGAAGCAGAAACCCAATAATTCTTACTTTACATAAAGTAAAAATAACGACTACTCTTGGACACTAAATTAGTGTACTGCCAAACACCAGCTAATCAGTGACACATAATCCAATTTTCATTCAAACTTGCCTTTTAAGCCCCCTCCTGCCACTTCAAGCACATCGTCAATCTTCGATCTTCCCTCCTGGTCACTGGCCTTTAACTCCTTGGGTAACAGTCGGGTGCCATGTTTCTTTATGTGTGGTGCCAGCTGTCGGCCTAACAACATGGTGGCCTCACCAAGTTTATTCACTGTAAATAACAATATGGAATTGTCTTTACATGTTATGTTTAACAACTCAAAATGGCAAAAATAGGATGGCAATAAATTCACTTTTAAATCTTATACAAATTTTACACTTTTAAATCTTATATAAATTTAACTTTGTCAGTCTTAGCCAGAATATATAGCCATTTTGTTTATAATATCCTAAAAGATAATAAAAAACTAAACACAATGATTGAAATTGTTTAAGCCATAACTCAATACTGATATCAATATTCACCTTGAAGATTTTCTTATCAAAAAACACATCTTACGCATATACCAGTATATCAGCATTCCATGACACTCACCAAGAAATCCACTGACTTTGACAGCCACCCCAGTTCCTTTCCTGGCATACAACAACCCTTTTTGTACACGGGGATCTACATTTGGTTGTTGTTCTTCTGGTTTCAAATGCTCCTTCATCTTGACTGCACCCATCTTCAGAAGTTCTCCCCCTTTCTCTGAAGCTTTTCCTAACCCCCAGGACACCCATTCTGCAGCTGCAACATTTCAATGTTTCTTAAAAGAAGCACTTTCAGTGAAACCAAACACAAAGCTTTTTGAGTGATAACCATTGAATGATTTAAATGTACTTGATGAAAATATTTAAATCTGGCAATTTAACATATTTTTTAATGACATTTAGAACTGACAGCTGAGGAAGAAAAAAAAACAGTAAAACAAGGAGTCTCACAAGTTTGCATTAACTGACCAAAAACTTGAATTAAAATTACATTTGATGAAATAAACCAGCTGGAATAAACACCTTAATATACAATTATTCTGAATAAATGGGAAATGTGAAGTTGATTGTCAGTGAAAAGTAATGACATTAACCTTAAGCCCCTAGTTTTTTAAATGAACTCGTGTATGCTGGGACAAGTAATGTATTATGGGAAGTTTCAAGGCATAACATATTTTTTTACTCAAAGTGTCTACCATAATACATCAATTAACACTGACAATATTTTTTCTGTTATTGTGAATGGATGGAATTACCTGTGACCAGTCCTCTAGATATTTTTGCACTTGTTCTGTCTTCCTCAATTATTCCTGGCTCCCTAGGGGCCTCACTAGGGGGCTCTGGTCTCTCAGTGGGAAGGGGCTCCTCTTGCAAGGCAGTCAGGGAGTGGAGAATCCCTTCAAAATTTTCCCTCTCTGAGGTTGGCAAGTCTGGGGGCAACATTAGTCCTACAGCTGATCCTGAAAACAAAACAGACTACAGCAATATTCACAGTCCCATTAATGACATACACCAATTGTTCAATATTACTTTCTTCTTGGAATTCAAGCCAGGTTCAGGCCCATACTCAGTAGGTTTCTCTCCTATTTCTTTTCATAATTACAGGAAATTAATTACATTGAAAAATAAAACACTTGTACCTACCGTCTTGAGCTGAGAGAACATCTGGAAACATATATGCCCCGTTCCTGGCATGAAGAACTGGGGATCTCCCTGGCTGAAGAGGGTACACCCAATCTCCCACCTTAAGGAAACCCTCAGGACGGGGTATGCTGCTTGCACCTTGGGGCTCCTGTTCTTTAAACTTAAATATATGTAAGGCTGCTGGGTAGGAGGGGGCACTGACATAACCCTGGGGAGTTATCCAGTATATTTGAACACCCTCTGGAATGGAGTACATAGCTTCAGCATTGGTTTCCATTGATGGTTCACCATTTTCATTTGCCATTATACTATCACCAAGAGCCTCAAATTCATCCTGGGAAGCACCAAACATGGAAGCTTGGTAAGATGGGGGTGGATCATCTATAGCCATGGCCACAGCCTCATCCTCTTTCAAAGCTTCAATCCTACTGTTTATCTGAATCTTTGTTTTTTCCATTTTTTGTTTCAGCTGTTTGACATCTTCAAAGTCATCTCCAGTTCCATCGCACTGTATGGACAGTGCCCTGTCCAAGTACTGGCAGCCCCGGGTGTACAGCTGTAAAGCCTGGTCTTTTTGTCCTTGTTCATCATATGTAAGTGCTTTGTTGATTTGTTGATACGCTTCATTGTGGTATCTGTAACAATGAAACACTTGATAAAGGGTTCAAAGATAAAAGAAGTTAAAGATGTTCATTTCCTTTAAGCTTAGTTGTCCCATTTCTTTTGAGGCTTGACATTCAAAAATCCTAACAAAAATAAACATAAGTTAACACCTTAAAACAACAAAATGACACAGAGATGACGGTTTTACTTTAAAGTTAATTTAGGGAGCATGCCATACCGTTTCACTTTCTTTATCTTCTCCTGTACCAGAGCAACAGTGGTCTGAGGTGCCATAGGAGGGGGCCTAGGAGGCCTGGATCTTCCTGGTGTACACTCCATTTGAGATATTTCAAAGTCCTAGTCAGACATTGCTTTTAAACCATGCACTGAAAATAACGTTTGACATTAATACATGTAGACTACGTACACGTAACGTTATGTCTCATTTGACACATGATGATCGAAGCCAATAACGTTAAACAGATATTTGTGAAGCAGTGCTAAGAATAGTCAGATTATTCTACTAATGTTAGTAACTTGCTCGTTAAAATCTCCTGTCAAATAAATTCTCAGTTAGATTCTGAAGATGCTTAACCCATTACAACGTTAACTGCGCCGTATCATTCTGTTAAAACGTAAAAGAAATTAAAGGGAAAATAACGCTACGTACGGAACCACTAACGTTAGCCTTAACGTTGATCAAACTTTTCAAAGATAATGTTATTTATTCTAAGCACGAAAAGCAACTCATTTTAACAACAAAGCTATTACCTCTTCAATCCAGTCTCAACATATCCTTTCTATAAGTAGAAGAAATACACATTAAAGAGATTAAAGAGTGATCCAAGGTCTTCATGCGATTACTCATGTCACTTTGGCAATCAGAGCCATTGGCGGATGTAGCTTATCTTGGGTTCATACGAAATAAAGCGTAATTGGATATCATTTTCCTTCCAAAATACTAGTTGCAAAATACTTATAAAATATATATCTTGTCAGAAACCATGTGCATTTTGTTTATTTATGTAAAACTTCATATATTGTCTACTATGATAAAATACGTGCAATAATAATGGACTAAAATATCCGGGATAATTCTTATCATAGTTTTGCTCAAAACATAAAACTTGTGACTCTGTGACACTAGTAAATAAAAAGTTATAAATCAAGGGGAAGATGTGATCTACCAGCATTTACTGATAGCTTGACTACGGGTCTTAATCAGTTATGGACTGGAGGCCAGAATGGACAGGAGGATGGCGAAATTGGATTCGACCGTTGGTGATGTCCATTTATTTTCTTGTTCTAGTGATAGCTCTCCCCTTATGTGTCTGGGAACTCCAGAAGAATGGGGTTCAGTTGCATTTACAGGCCTGGTTTGTAGGCGGACTCTTTGTCATGATGGCAATACCTATCTCCCTGTGGGGGATACTCCAGCATTTAGTTAACTATACTCAGCCTTTTCTACAGAGATACATCATTAGGTAGGTACCGTAGTGTTGTTTTGTGTACATTGAATAAATCCTATAAACTATAATAATAATAATAATTTATTAAAAGGGTAAGCGAAATCTATAGCTATTATCTAGAGAATAAGTTCTATTTTAGGCTGTGAAATCTATATTTTTACTGAGGTTATTTTTATTTGAAATTAGAACCAAGTGAAAATACCCTAAATTAAATTAAACTTTAAACATAAAAAAGTTTTGAAAGTTTGTTAAGGTAGCTTGATTATTGTTTTTGATAATTCAGTTATCTGTTGTAATCTGTATATACTATATCTTTTTTTAGAATTTTATGGATGGTTCCTATTTACGCATTGAATGCTGTAAGTACTGGTATTTTGCTAAAATAAAATAAAACTAAAAAAATCTGAAGTTCCGAGCATATGATTTTGTCAAAATGAAATATCAACCCATTTGGATGTTTGATTTTTGGGCACCATAATCATAAGAATATATGACATATTTTCCTTTTTCTTACTTGTTTTACCATGAAGGCTGTTAGATCTATTTAGTAAATTAAAACTTTTATAGTATCAAATATGAGATGATAATATGATACCTGTAAGTGTAAAATATATTATTTTCAGTGGTTTGCACTGAGATTCCCAGATGAGGCAATCTATTTAGACACACTCCGTGAATGCTATGAAGCTTATGTCATCTACAACTTCTTTGCCTATCTCATGAGTTTTCTTCGATCTGAATTCTCAAGGCTAGAGCATCATCTGGAGTTGAAACAGTCCAGTGTTAAACACATTATTCCATTCTGCTGTCTGCCTTCATGGGAGAGTGGGGAGTTAGTATACCAGTGTTTTACCCTTTTAAAGAAATTAGAAGAACTGATTCTGAAAAAAAAATTTTAAGAACTGAGAGAAGATTGCCAATGGGCAATTGCACTGAAAAGTTAATTAACTTGTATGAAAAATAATCAATGAATTTACCTTGAAATGTTTTCAAAATTAAGATTGTAAATTGATTTATGTCCAACCTTAATTAGTGTGTTTCAAAAAAGCAAATTCATCATGATTTAATTTCAGAAAATTCTTAACCCATTGTAAACATGGAGCATTGCAGTATACAGTCATCAGACCTATTACAACCATCATAGCTTTGTAAGTAAACCTTGATTCCTCTGGTCAAAATATTCATATCATTAAGTTATGAAATATCAGCATTCTTAGAATATATCTGAAATATACAAACTTATGTCTACTGAGAGACGAGGCAAATATGACACTGCAAATTGGATGATCCATGCTTTATAAGTTTATAAACAAAAAATATCATTTAATAATGATAATTGAGCAGTTGAATGGAATGTGGATTGTAATATTTTAATTTAAGATGATTAATATGAAATTTTACAAATTTAGTACATTTAATTTAAAATTATGCTATCAATGAATTGTGAAAAGTGGTAGCTTCAACCAGAGAGCTGTGTACAACTCCTGACTCTAACTGAGATATTCTGGAAAGGACACATAGATGGACAAAATTCACTTGCCAGAAACAGATATTCTGCTAAGATAAGATTTCACTGCTAAGTGTATTTTTATAATACTTTTAGAATCTGTGCTCTGGCAGGAGTTTATGATGAAGGCCACTTCAGCTTCAAGAATGCTTGGACCTACATAGTAGTGATAAATAATGTGTCCCAGATTGTAAGTAACTCCTTTGCATAATTTAACCTAAAGATATGAATATTGCTGTAGGACATTGTTTCTGAATTAGCCAATTTGTCTTGTCTTAAAAATACAAATGCTTTGTTTTCTCTCCACGTCTTGTCAAATTCACAGTATAATAAATTTGACTATATTATGTTATGAATTGATATGTATGGTTTTGACATTGTTAATCATATATATATATATATATATATATATATATATATATATATATATATATATATATATATATATATATATATATATATATGGAATAAATCTATCTAGAATGGTGACAATGAACATTTAGTCTTGGGACTAAGCTGATGTTGCATGGTGTAACCTGCCTGAAGTGTATGGCCCGTGATCTAGATAGATAAAATCTGAAACCATCATGCTTTTAGTCATTTAAACTTAACTGGCTTATATTAACAGTCATGTGATTCATTGTCAGCTTTTAAGGCCGGTGATAGTTAAAGGACCAAAGTCATAGAAACAAAGCCCTGGGCTTATAAGTTTTTATAAAAAATTAAAACAAACTTCCCAAAAGGCCAATTAAAGACGGGGATTAAGTACAGTGTCCAACGGATGACGCTCTGGCGCCAATTTGAGGGGAAAAATGCCGTTTTCGGTATTGGGATTTTCTCTATAACCAAGACAGCTATTCAAGTGATTCAAAAGGCCTCATAAAGCTGGGTGAAAGCACTTCAGCGCGGTACCAGGGAATTGTCTTAAACTATTTACTTTTGATTTTATCATCTTTTACGTTAAATTACCCCATATTTCAATGGCTTATTCACTTCAAAAGGCGATATCTTTCAAACAAACAATTTTCTCTTAAACCCCTGATATCATGCTGTAGTCCACATTCCTAACAACAATAGGTGCAACTTTTGTAACGATCGGTTGCTCAGATAGTGAGATATACTTGGCAGCGATTCACTTATCTCGTCAATATAGAAAGCTGTTAAAACAGCCAAAAACGTTCACAGGTTGGTTAACAGGGCTTATTAGTCAAATGCTTAGCTGGCAAATTTACCTGTTATCGGTTATACGATCAGCTGGAACCATTGCTTATTGTCATCTAAAAATATTTTGTTTGGGTGCTTTGAAGGGGCAGAAAATCGTGCTTTTGTTACATTTTCCGACCACTCGTTAGGCATGTAAGCGTGCCGCCATTTTGATTGACAGCTCTGGAGAGGGCCCTAGCCTTGTGATGCCCAGTAGGGTGTCAAGGATATGTAGAAGGAAGCGCTAACAAAGGCGATTACGTTTAACCGCAATTAAGAGGTGTGAAGTTGCATTTGAACGTTTCAATGGCTCTTCCTCGGCAATCGAGTAATTTTACCTGAGAGATTCCTTCTTTGTTATCGGCAAAGTGATCAGATAAAACTGTGTCGAGAGCAAGTGTCCGTCACTTGTGTTGATACGAGTTTTTTGACGGGTAACGCTGCAGGATTATTTTGCACGGCACTTGGTAGTCGTCAGATCAACGGAAAAATCCAGTGATTACTTCAGAGCGGTCTCGCTCAAAATGCCAGCTAAGATAAAGGGGAGACGCTCAGCTGCACAAGATTCAGCGGTAAAAGTGGCTGAGAGAAGGCTTTTGAATAAATATTTTATTTTTACACACATGACACTTAGACCCTATTTGCTTTTTACCTGCTAGCCTTGACTATTCTCGGGGTCTTTTTGTGATTTTCATTTTTGGACACTTGAACTCTTTCTTCCCGCTTGATCAGTGATTTTGAAATTGTTTTTCTCCAAATATCGCAAAATGCAAAGCCGCTAACATGCGTTTTTATTTTTATTGTTTTAATCATGCTGTCAACCTTTGCTTGGATTTCTCTTGTTTGGCCATTCAAATCACAATTTTTCGCGTGTCTCTCAAGCTCCATGATATCATATCTTGGAGAATAAAATTTTATTTTGTCAACATTAGATTTACCTTTTGCAAACGGCGACCAACAATCATTTCCGGTTTCGTAACGTGTCGCAGATACGCTCGACGATATATATCGCAAAAATTAAAGGCTAGGCTAAAAGTATCCTTTTTTAGCTTTTTTT